CCCCCCTTCTGACTCCCGACCAGTGCCTGCTCCCTGAGGCTGACTCAGCTTCACCCCCGCACTCAGCCTTCCTCAAGGCCTGCAGGTCCTGCCTGCCATGTCTTCAGCTTCCAAAGCTTGTGAGGCAAAGTGGTTTTGTGCTCTTTTCCCCAAAGGGGGTGATGTAAGCAGGCTAGGCTTTAGGGCACAACACCCATTACCCTCAATTTTCAGGTGAACACAGCAAGGTTCAGAGATGTCTTTTAGCTCCCAAAGTCACATGTAAAAATGGGAGGAACTGGGATATGGGCATAGATATGTCTCACTGCATGTGGGTTGGTAGGCCACATGGTAGGCCCCTGTGCCCAGCTCCCAGCTTCTCTCTGTCCTAGGCTGAGTGTTTTTTCTCCACAGGCGGTGAGTCCAGAGGAGAGGTTCTGGAATGCATCTGGGGCAGCCTTTGCAACAGTCCAGGAGGAGGGGCAGGTGGCAGTAGCCCTGGGGACAGAGATCATTCTGACAATGTTGTTGGCGTTGGCTGTGTGCATGGGCGCTGTCAATGGGAAGACAAAGGGCCCTCTGGCGCCATTCTCCATTGGCTTCTCTGTCATTGTGGATATATTGGCAGGGTAAGAGTCCCTCAGTAGTGTGATTGCCATGCTCAGTTGTGGGTCACAACAGGGTTGAGGGCTGCAGACTCAGTTGCCAACAGGGGCCAGGAAAGTGTGGCAATGGGCTGGTTTGGGGCTGGCACTGGGCAATGGTGGGGTTTGCGGCAGTAGACAGGGCTAGGTGATTTTTGGCTGTGTGAGAATATGGTGACCCTTCTACTTCATTTAAAGCTAAGTCAAAGATTTGGATTTTTATAAAAATTCCCAATTTCTGTAGTAGAAATAAAACGTTGCCTCAGTCTTACAAAAAATTACCTCTACCCATGGTCTCTTTTATGTTGAGCCTCTTGTTAGTTTTGGGAAGTCATTAAGGAGACAGTTGGGTAAGGAATCATTTCTCCCATTGTACAGGTCATCAAATTGAGGTTTAGAAAGGCAAGAAATGACTTAGGGTCATTGAGAGTATCAATAAAGTGACAGACCTAGGACAATCACCCTCAATCTGATGAAGTGTGAAAGAGGCCACTTCCAAAAGTTCAGTTCCTTTCTTCTTTTTGGATACAGAACCAAACCTTTCTCAGGGTTCAGGTCTCTTTGCACCGTGGGTGTGCTGGGAATGCAGTACATCAGCAGTAGTGGTGCTTTTTTGCCCCCTAGTGGCAGTTGCTTTACTTACAAGTGTGCTCTCCCACTTGGACTGGCTTCTGGGTACAGAACCCAGTGAAGGCTTCAGGACCCAGCCTGAAGGCATGGGATCTGCAGACAGAACCCAGGGCTAGAGGTGCACCTTGGAAACAAGCTCTCTCCGGTGAGCCTGGGGTACATGCTCCCTTTAGTGTGCCTGGGAAGCAGACTCCCCTCTAGGGGAGGAGGGCCCAGATCTGTGGCATGAGAACCTCAATGGGCCAGCCACACTATAGTGATCATCAAGATATGCACATTTTGTCATTTGTTCCTGGCTACAACCTATGGGATGGGCGCTTTCATCTCAGTGGACATGCAGAGAGGTTAGACAAAGGTTACAGAGTGGAATTGCCTGGTCTGGATTTTGAATGTAGGTCAACTGGACTCGCAAGTGGGTGACATTCCTTGGACTTTGCTTTATAGACTTTGGAAAGGAAAGTTTCTATTTTTAACTCCTGTCATGACTAAGAAGGTGTTTCTGCTGGCCACTGTTCTAGAAGAGTGTGTGGGGAGTGGCCTACATGATGGCCATGCAGGAACAATCATTTGTCTGCCTGGTACTAACATCCTTTTACAGTCTCTGAGATTCACCCAGGTCCCCTGGTATGGGAGTTCAGAGAGGGTGTCTGGGTGGAGTGGTCTGAGATGCTGGTAAACTGTGTATCTATGTGTCTGCAGAGGTGCAATCTCTGGAGCCTGTATGAACCCTGCTCGTGCCTTTGGACCTGCTGTGATGGCTGGCTATTGGGACTTCCATTGGATCTACTGGTTGGGCCCTCTCTTGGCTGGCCTCTTTGTAGGACTGCTCATTAGGTAGGAGGGTGACAGGGAGTCTACAGCTAGTAGGTGACACTCACTTGGACTTGGGGGGGAAGGGGAATCTCCAGAGGGAACTAAGCTGATTCAGTCTAGGGCCATTGGCTCCAAGTGACAGAAATCCACTTTACAAGGGGGGGGGAGGGTGCTAACTAGCTCATGAGTGGTTCTGGCTCCAAGTAGTGCTTAAATCTGTTTCTGGGGACTTGGGATATCTAATAGACTTTCCTTTCCTATGAGCGGGCTTTACCTTTAGAGAGGCTTACATTTTTTTAAAAAAATTTTTGTACAATATATTTGTATCATATTCTTTTCCCTCAAGGTCCTCCCAGGTCCTCCTCATACCCCTTCAACTGTGTCCGGAGGGCTAGATCTGGGCTGGCTGTGTAGCCTTCCTGTACCATTACCTACTGTAGTCCAGGGGCCTCAGGCCATGCCTAGGGCCTGGTGCAAAACACCACTAATCACTCTGTTACTGATTTCTGAATGGCTACCACAAGTATCCTTTTGCCCGAAGGGGCTGAGCTCAGGAAGCCACCTGTTTACAGAGCTCTGGGCCTACAGTTTTGCAATGAGAAGCTGGGTCATTTTCCCATGGGAAGGAGACCTCACAGAACAATTTACTTTTAGGCTCTTCATTGGAGATGAGAAAACCCGTCTAATCCTGAAGGCAAGATGAAGAAGCACTGCTGGGAGTCCTCAATGCCTGTCCTGAGCTGAGGATAGTACAATTGGATCACTTCCTGCAGGGCTGAGCACAGAAGAGCCACTGTGGCAGCAGCTGACCTTGGCCCGGCTTTTCTGGCAGACTGGATGCTGCTATGTCCCGAGCAAGTTCCTAGAACCTGGAATTCCTTTGGTTCACAGACTGCTCCTGGGGAATGTGTGGCCAACAATGTCTAAAGACAGATGGAGACCACAGAAAAAGAGGTCTTCTTGAGAGGGCAGGTCACAAGAGAGATGAGCAGGTGGGAAATGTGGCTGCTAAAGCTCATTTCCCTAGCCTTCTTCCTTCCTTCTTCCCTTCCTTCCTTCCTTCCTTCCTTCCTCTCTCTTTCTTTTTCTTTCTTTCTTTCTATGTTAGGTTTGGAACCCAAGGTCTCATGCATACTAGGGGAGCACTTTGCTACTCAGCTTCCTGCTCTCCCCACCCTCTTTCCTCTTGATTCCACTGTTACAGAAGGGATTTCGGGAGCCCAATGACCTCTTTGCTTCCCCAGCTGCCAATCTGATGCTGTAATAAATGGCTCAGTGTTTCCTTCCGGACGTCTTGGTTGACATCTCTTTCATTTGAGACATGGGCATGGGTGGGGAGGAAATCAAGGTCTGGGGAAGCTTTACCTTCACAGAGTCTGGCTAAACACAGTAGAGGCTGGTTTCCTGAGCTGATGTAGGGACTTAGGGTATGGTCCCACTCAGAGCCTATCCACACTCAGGCCAACCCACTGTGGCACTCACCCTGGAGCACAAGTTCATTTTCTTAGACTCTATTTAGAAGACCATGCTGAACATGGAATGTAGGGCCCAGGGCCTTGGTGAATGCCCAGTACTGTCTGGGTATGGACCAACCCCATTCACTGCACTCCAACTGGGGATGAGGTGGGGGTGAGGTAAAACTGCAAGAATTCCCAGTGGGAGGAGAATAACAGCAAGCAGTATAAACTAGGCCCAGTGAGCCAGTGGCATGTGGGTGGGAGATACAAGTAGAATAAAGAATAGATAATAAGACACGGTAGCAGTACATCTTCCAGATACAACATGTATTTCCTCTAAGAACCATGGGTCATACATAGGTTTGATTCCCAGGACCTGCATGGTGGCTCATGACTATCTCTTAACTCTAGTGTCAAGGGTTTCTGCTCCCCTCTCTGGCCTCCTGGGCATTGGATGCACATGATTCATAGACACAAGTACAGGCAAAGCACCCATACACATAATTCAAGAATGCATAAAAAATATCATGTACCATGATTAACTTGGCTTCATGCCAGAGATACAAAGATGGTTCAACAAACAAAAAATAGATAAATGCTTAAAAACTAGATAAATGTAATCCACCACACAGACTGAAAGGAAAAAAAAAACCCACATGATTATCTTATTAGATAATGAAAAAGTCTTTGACAAAACCCAACATCCGATAATGATTATCTTATTAGATAATGAAAAAGTCTTTGACAAAACCCAACATCCCTTCATGATAAAAGTCCTGGTGAGACTAGGGATACGAGGGACATACCTCAATACAATAAAGGCAGTTTATAGCAAACCCATATCCAATATTAACCTAGACAGAGAGAAACTCAAATGGAACATGGTTCTGTTAAAATCAGGAACAAGACAAGGATGTCCATTTTTCCATACCTATTTAATAGTACTTGAACTCTTAGCTAGGGCAATAAGACAACTGAAGGAGATCAAGAGGATACACATGGAAAAGGAAGAAGCAAAAATGTATTTGTAGGTTGATGGGGAATGTACTGTGTATGTTTATCTTATTGATTGTTAAATAAAATACTGTTTGGCCAATGAGACAGGAAGTTAGACAGGACTAGGAGTCAAAGAGGATTCTGGGAAATGTCGTAGAGAAGTGCTGATCCAGGCAGGAAGTGACATAGCAAGGAGACTCATATTTAAGTGAAGGAGAAACAGGAAGGGCCCTCTTTTCCCCTCTGCTCCTGCTCCAGTGGCACAATGTGATCCACTGGCAAGGAGGGACGCCAATAAGGCGTCCAATAAGATAAGTCTTATAGGATATATATAGGTTTATGATAGTTAAGACTGAGGTAACAGATGAGAATCCTAGTCATTGGCCAAGCAGCATTGTACCTAATACAAGTTTCTGTGTATTCATTTGGGCCTAACT